CACGGAATTAGCATTAGTGTTACCCGATAGTTACCTGAAACGAAATATTACCACGCCCATGGCCGGTTCTTATCTCGGGGTTTTATTACTCTCTTTCATTTCCAAACAGACTATAGATTATAAAATTATTCAACCGTTTTCCATTTATATTTACAATATTTTAGCTTTAGAGAAATTTTAAAAAGGGGAAACTTCAAAAATAGTGGGGCTTCTTGACCGGATACTTAGGAATATGATTAAGTGCAGTTCTTTTGATGTTAAATTTTATAATATACAAGGTGATTCGGAATATCCGAAAAAAAAATTGTTGGTTGTATAAGGTGAGTGTATTACTAATTGAAATACTTAAGTGTGATACATGGAAGAAAAATATAAACCACTTGCACGTCACTGGAAAACTGGACGACTGGGTTGAGGTAATAACTCATATATACCTTGTAATAGCGCGGCAACAGAACGAGAATGCAGGCTCGGTCTAAAGACCCAACAAGATACAGTTTCATGGCAAATTTTATTTCAAATTTAACATCAGTACGGGAAATTTACGAAATGCCATTTTCCTTTGTAAAGCAATTTTACAAATAATACAATCCAAAACTAAAATTTACTAAAATTGTTTTGTCATTTGATGTTCTTGAGTGTTTGTACTTTCTCTTCAAGACAAATTTTGTGAATTATCTGTACTTAACTATATTAATTTAAAATATCAAAACAGTAAAATGCACATAATTATCTAAAAAATGTAAAATAATTTCTCAAATTTCTTTATTTGATTCATTGCTGTAACACCATCGTAACAGAAAGTTCAGAAGAACAAAAGATATAGCTCATTGTATTTAATTTGAAATTAGCCTATACTTACTTTAGTGTTACAAAAATCAGTTTACTTACCTCGTTCGTGACAGATGTTAGCATTAGAAATAAATCAATAAATTGCACTACACTGTTTTATTAAGTAAAGTAGTGTATTTATTAATTACTTCAACAAAATTAAACTAAACTATTAAATAATTGTAAAAATAATTAAAAACCGGAATACTGAGCACATAAGGAAGTACTAAATTAGACACAAGTCTATTTACTAATCTGTGACGCACTTTTCCTCGGTTTTCTCTTTATGAGTTGGTTGGTGTTAATTTCTTAATATTTTTCGTTATGGTGTGTGCACCCCCTGTAATTTAATTTTTCGGAAAGGTCTTTTATTCCTCGGACTGGACTCTAAACGGTAACGTTAGTTAATAATTTATATATTCGGTTTAGTCTCGGGCGCCAGTTTCCCTAAATTTTACGTGGGGGAAACTCCACGTAACCCTTACCCTCGGTTTAGAGTAAAGTGCACAGGTAGCTACAGTGAAGAAAATAAATTCCAGGGGTCAAATGAATTTCTTTTAGGAGAAAACGGCAGAGGGTACGACAGCGAGTAGTTTTCTCAGTGTAGTTTTATTTTAGATATGAAATTTAACGGGAGCTCTACAAAACGATATCAGTGTTTTTTGCTGTTTCGGAATGTTATCAGTTTACTTCGACGGTGAAAGAAATAAACCTATTAAGTTTTACTAGATTTATTCAAAAGGGAAAATATTAATACTTAGTACAAATACATACAGTGTCAATTTTTATTCCTACCCACTACTAAATGACTGAAATTATTTACAAGTCTATTAACAATATTTATATACAAAATCAGTGTGAAAGAGATAAAATTAAAAAGTTGTGATTCTGGGTTTTTTACAATTTTACTTATCACCTTAGAAAAGAAATAAATATTTGCAAACGGGATCGAAATAAAATATTTATTACTCTACAATCGTAGACGGTTTTTACGTACAAAGGAAAAGGTGATTTTTAAACGGTCTGACTAAAATATTTATAGACGTTTTTTTACTGGTCCCCGCTGATTCTGAAAATAAACCAAAATGTATTCGGAATTATTTCGGACTTATTTTAAACAGGCGGGCGGTCAAATATCGGTATCATGGCCTAGCAAGCAATACAAAATTAGTAAGCAGAATGCGGTAAGCAGTAAGCGGTAGCAATAACCAGTGAAGAAAGCCCAAGCGGTGTAAGGCAGAAAGATAGGATGGTGAAACGGGATTCGGAGTATCTCGCCTTACAATTCGTACTAGCCTTTAAGCTTTATACGTCCTGGTGGCCGATGGTGTCGGACTCTCTGTATACAACGCTTCTCGGTCTGATGGGTATACACGCCGACCAGGGAGAAGCGTACGTATACTATATGGAACGACCCGGAGATTGGGTGGGCACGCCGAACCTCTAGGTCTTGGTTCACATATCCCCTATTACCCAGCGTACATCAAGGTGCGGGACACCAAGCAACGCTGTAGTAAACACGACGGCTTCGTCAGGATTGGGTTTAACACGCCGAATCCAACGATTGCACTGTCGTGTGGGTTGAGACGGACGGTGGAATTTGTGTGTGGGTTACCAAGAATATTCTTCTCGGGCCCACAGTAATTCCACACTTAAAGTGTACAAATCTTTTCGGACTTGTACCCGGTTGGAACGGATAATAATAAGGAAAATAATTCTTACTAGGTTCACTGGTTATTCTGGGCTGGCTTCGGTGGAGAGTTCTTGCTGGCGGTGGACGTCTGTTCGGTGTTGAGTTCTGGATACGAACTGTCGGTTTCGGGGAATGTCGAGGACTTTTGTTGCCCAAATCCCCACCGGATTGACACCAGTCGTGGTGGGACCTCCACGTGACCAACGGCTTGTCAGAGTGGGGTATCGGCCGGTCGGACCCGCGAGTAGATATTTGATATATATGTAGAAAAATCAATAATTCTCGCCGCCGGGGTAAAATAATCCGAAATAAAAAGAAATATTTTTAAATCCAGACATAATAAAATCAAAAATAAAACAGGTTCATTACAAATCCATTCAAACAAATAACTGATAATCCATAAATATTGTAAGTACACTGCTGAGCATTAAATGGTATTATAAAAACTTAAAGACAAATCACAAAAACTCTAGGTTTTTGTGAGTCGGATGTACAATCGCCCAGTTAATAGAGAAGGTATAAGCCAAAAACAATCAATTTTCATTATTAAATAATAATTATAGGAAATTACACTTTAGTTATAGGAAATTATATTTTATATTAGAAATCTACAGATAAGTTGTAGTAGTTTATGTTGCAAACGGTACAAGAAAGAGACATTATGCGAACGATATTCGCAGATTTGAAATACCTACTACTTATTGCTCATAGGTAGTTCTTGGCAAAAATATAAAAGAAAACAACTTTAGTTTAGAAAAAGAAGTTCCTATAAACATTGGTCCTTCGGAACACCGTTACTGAGATATGGCCCTCCAAAGGGGTCTTATTATTTGGATATTTTTTAATATAACTTCCTTTCTAATTAAGATAACGGAAGGAAAATTGTAGGTAATAATTATACCATAAGGGTCTTTAACTACCATAAGGTTCATCATAATCGGTTATAAATAAGTATAGTTTTGTAACTACTCTTAGCTGAAAATTTTCGAATTTTTTTTATTCCTTTCAATTATTAAGCAAATAATATTATTTTTAATGAATTAAACTTTTATGAAGAAAAAATGTCTACTCTTTTTTCGAACTCTGCGTAGTTTAGTCATAAATAATTATTTTTTAAATAATGTATGGCTCAGAACAGATTTTTTTTTTAAATTTTCACATAGTAGGCATCTTTTATAGTGTCAGTTTCATTATAATGATACTAATGATTGTCACTTTCGAGTGCTATGTTTTAAATTCTTATGTTTCTTTATTTTCTTAGTTGTGATCTTTGTGCTCAACTTTGCATTTCATTCGATTTTTTTACAACCATTATGCTTTTATTAACCGTAAATATACGTCAATTTAAAAAATTTCGATGACATTATTATAGTTCAATTCCATATTTTAAAAATGGTATGTCACGTACGTTTACAATTACTTCTCGTCTGGATTCTGTTTCTCACCTNTTGATATATATGTAGAAAAATCAATAATTCTCGCCGCCGGGGTAAAATAATCCGAAATAAAAAGAAATATTTTTAAATCCAGACATAATAAAATCCAAAATAAAACAGGTTCATTACATCCCCCCCTTACTTCGGTAGAAAAATAAAATAAAAGAATTTTATTTTATTTTTCGAAACTTACTCTATACAACGGAACAAAATTTAAAATCAAAACCATACGGAAATAAGGTGTGCAACCCCGGAACCATACTCTTTATTGCGGGGTGCAGACCTTGTACAAAATTAAGAGGAAAAAAAAACAAATGAACAAAACTCCCTTTCTAATTAAATTTCCTCGGTCGGGGTGTCTTCGGTCTGGGTGGCCTTAACAATACGGACTCGGTGTTCGGACTGCAAGTAGATGCAGCACTGAGTCCCTCTGGATCTCCGGGGTACGGGACGCAGCGTCGTCCATTCGTGTTTGACGGATAGTCTTCGGGCTCTTGGACAGGTACAATCCCGTGTCATTATTCCGTACTGTCCGCATTGGGAACAGAATAATCGGGGTATACCGTTACAGGTAAAGCGGGTGTGTCCGGGCTATCCACAGGGCCAGCACAAGCTGTGCGTGTCGACGGGTAGGTAGAGAGTTGTAACCTTCGGCGGAGGTGGCGGTGTGCTGCTTAATCGTCGGCGGTGGTTTAACGCGACTTCTTTCAAGTCTTGGGACAATGTCAGGTCTTTTGCCGGTTCGGACACGGTCGGGCTGGTCTCCAGGGTCGGGGATTCCTCGGTCAAAATGGAAACATCTGGAACACGGGGTGGCGTTCGTACTTCATCCCCTTCATAGGTCGGCGGCTGGTTAACGGCCTCTACGAGTTCTAACAAGAGAAAATCGTCCTTTTCCATAGCGGATAAGTGGACCTCTAGACTGGGGCTATCCATTGCCTTAAATCAAAGGAAAAAAATAGCACATATAGAGATAGCAAATTTAACGGTTCATAGAATTTTTCGGACGTTGAACTCTCTCCCCTGGTATTACTTTTTAATTACGGTATTCCCAGCTCGGTCGTGAACGGTACAGGTTTCAAGTCTTTGACGTGGATCCTGTTTACTCTCTTTCCGGTGTCGGATTTCAGGTTGTAAACTACCGGTGACACGACTTTGACCACGGTGTACGGTCCGGAATATTTCGGTGCTAGTTTTGCCGCAAAACCTTTAACAGCGGATGATAACGGATTTTCACGTTTCATAACCCGGTCTCCTACGTGACATCGCCAGTCACGTAGGCGGAGATTATAGTAATGACTCTGTGAGTTAAAGGCATGAGACAAATTCACTCGGACTAAGTCAAAAACTTCCTGCAACTTTGATAGTCGGTTTCTTCGGATCTCACGGTCGGCGTTGGACGGCTCCTCTTCTGGGACAGGTTCCTCGTTGCGGTACAATGCCTTCGGTACTTCCAACTCTCGGCCAAAGTTCAGGAAGGAGGGTGTGAATCCAGTGGATTCATGACGGGCACTGTTGTTTGCAAACTTGAAATCGTCTAGATGATGGTCCCAGTGGCGGTAATCCTGTTCACAGAATTGCGCTATCATGGTCTTGATAGTGTGGTTTGTCCTCTCGACAGGATTGGCTTGCGGAGTGTAGGGTGGAGTGAAACGGTGTCGTATGTCCAGGTCTCGTAATAGGGAACGGAATGACCGGCTGTTATATTGTGTTACATTATCACTGATAATCTCTTTCGGGCATCCATAACGGCAAATGATATCCTCATGGAGGGCTTGCGTAACGTTACGGGCGGTGGCACTTCGGAGTGGTCGGAATTCAACTCATTTGGTAAAGCGGTCCTGGAATACGATCAAAAATCGGTTGCCCTTACTAGACCTCGGTAATGGTCCAATTAAATCGGTGCTAACGGTTTCCCAGGGCTGTAGGACTACGGATGGTTCCATTATCCCTGGTGTTTGTTGTTGCGATGTTTTATAGCGCTGGCATTGTAGACAACTCCTAACATAACTGGTGACTTCTCGGAACATGCCAGGCCAATAATATCGCAGGGAAATTCGTCTTGGCAATTCCCATGTGTCCTGCGGTTGCAACATCATGGTTTTCTTTCATGACGGTTGGTCTCATTGGCTTCAATACACACAGTTTCCACGGGTCGCTGAGTTCCGGTTCGGTTAGATCTCTAGAATCCCAAATATGTCGGTATAGCCGGTCATTACGAATACAGTAATCCGGGACTGCCTCGGGACTCTTTTCGACTTCTTCCTTTTTAAGCCGGTACCAAGCACACGCTGGTGCTCCTTCTAAAGCACATAGTTCGGCGGCACTTTCGGTGGAAGAATCGGATAGGGGTTGGCGAGATAGCGCATCAGCTATCCGGTTCAAGGCTCCTCTGCGGTACTGGATCTCGAAGTCATATTGTTGTAGATATATGCTCCATCTTGCTAGGCGGCCGGACGGACTTTTGACGGAGTGAAGCCAACGGAGTGACTGGTGGTCAGTGATGACGGTAAAACGGTAGCCTTCCAGGTATGGCCTCATATTTTCAATTCCCCACACGATGGCTAAACATTCCTTTTCGGTGGTGGAATAATTTTTCTCGGCAGGGTTGAGGGTGCAGCTAGCATATGCCACAACATGTTCGGATCCCTCAACATTTTGGGTCAGGGCCACCCCTAGGCCAATGTCGGAAGCATCGGTCTGTAGACGGAACGGTTTCTCAAAATCGGGACAAGTCAAAATCGGGGCTTCGGTGAGACACTTCTTCAGAGCTGTAAAAGCTTGTTCTTGCTCTTCAGTCCATTTCCACCGGTGGTTCTTCTTGAGTAGTCGTGTTAGTGGAGCGACTACTTCGGAAGAATGACGGTACAAACCTACGATACCAGGAGGCTGTACCTAAGAAACGGCGGACATCTCGGACGTTCTTCGGGGTTGGAAACTTCTGTATTGCTTCCACCTTCTCTGGATCGGTGCGGATTCCCTCAGCGGTTACTAAGTGGCCTAAATACTTCAGTGACTTCCGGCAGAACTGGCATTTGTCCGGATTTAATTGCAGATTGGCCAGGCGTAGTCGGCGGAAAACTTCTTTTAGATTTTGCAGGTGGTCTTCAAAGGTATGGTATGCAAAGGCGTGCGGTTCTAATTCGGGACTAATGATGCGGTCTAACAAGCGCTGAAACGTAGCAGGGGCGGAATGCAGTCCAAATGGCATTACTTTGAATTGGAACAGTCCCCTCCCGGGGACAGTAAACGCAGTGACGGGTTTGCTTTCGGGCGACAAGGGAATTTGCCAGTACCCTTGTTTCAGGTCGATACTAGAGATGTACCGGGCTCGGCGTAGTTTGTCCAGGATGGCATTTATGTACGGTAGGGGGTACGCATCTTTTTCTGTGACTTCGTTCACTTTCCTGAGGTCGATGCAGAATCTGGGACTTCCATCCTTTTTGCGGACTATTACTACTGGTGAACTCCATGGACTAGATGACGGCTCGATTATTCCTTTTTCCAGCATGTCGTCAACTTCTTGGTTAATAATTGCTTGCATACGGGGATTCTGCGGACGGTATCGTTGCTTAATCGGTTCTGCTTGGGAAAGGCAGATCTGATGCTGGATTAACGTCGTAGCACCTTTGATGTTGGCAAAACGGGGTAATTCCTCATCCAGGAATTGTCTCAATCGGGTTTCTTCCTCTGCGGCTAATTGTAGGGAAAGTTCTCCCACCGGAGTATACGGGGTTGTCGGTGATGCCCTATGAACTTCTTTATTGTTTAAGTAAATAGTATTACTTAATAAGTCCATCCTAAAATTGTTGCGGCTCAAAATATCCATCCCAATTATCATATCGGATGTTAGGTCAGGTAGGTGATGTATTAATTGGGAAAACTTGGTTTCATTTATGGAAAACTTCAACTGGTATCCACCACGAACGGATACTCTTTGCCCATTGGCCAAAACAGTAGTCGGTGTTACTATCTCTTGGAACGGTAGGCCTAGTTCTGTGCAGTAGTTAGCTATCTTATTACTTATATAAGATAGCAAAGCTCCGGTATCTACAAGTGCGGAAAAATATCTGTTATTTATTTTCACTTGTATGTGTGGGCGGTTATCGGCTCCGGTGATGGCTGCATTATGGGATGTTGAAGGCTGGTTGCATCTACAGTCGCGGGACATCACACCATTTCGTTCACATCTGGAACAGAACAGTCTTGGCGGGGCTCGGCATGCGAAACGGTTGTGGCCAGGTTGACCACACCTCCAGCAAATGGTGCGTCGGTTCGTAGTGCTAGGCGACGGCGACGGTGTCGGTTGTCTAGGCTGAGTCTCGCGTGATTGTGGGGGTTGTTCACCAGGTCTCTCGGGGATAGATGCTGGCCTGGATCTATGTTCTTCAGCCGGTCTGGGTCTATATGGCGGACGGGGGTGGACTGGTTCTCGGTTTCTTGGAGGCGGCAACTCTTTTCGGTCAGTATTATAACCTAGTGATGAATTGCGGTACTTGAGCTCTTTACTTAGCGTTTCAAATTCATCAATGCGGACTACCAAGTCGCTGGGGTTCGCGATGTCGCTCTGTCTTATATATTGAAGGTACTGTCTTATATATTGGAGGTATTGGTAGCAAGTTTGCATATAACCGTCGCAAAGTTTTCTCTTGCGAAAATCCTCCGTGGCGGCGGATTAGGGTTTGCAATGCCACAATATATTCTCTTCCGGTTTCATTAGCGTTTTGTTTGCGCTGCTGTATCTGTTCCTCCAAGAAATCTTGGTAATTTGCCGGTAGATAAAATAATTTGAAATCGGTTAGAAATTCCCCCCATGTGGTCCAGGAATCTCGGTTGTTTCGGTACCATGCCAGTGCATTGCCTTGAAAAACTTCAAACAGAGCTGGTAATAATTCAGCGGTGGAAATATTACTCTTCTCTTGCAGCTCATATAATTTTTCCAAAAATTCGGTGGCGTCGGTTTTCCCATTGAATTGCAGCTTCCAAGTTCGGACTTTATCGCATACATCCCCAATGTTGGAATTTTTAACGGCCCTCCGGGTGGAATGTATATGCGGCTGGAAATGTGGTGACTGTTCGGTATCGGGGTCGGAAGAAGCAGATGTGTTGGGTTGATTTTTCCCTGGCTTGGGATAACCCTCTCGGAAAAATGTCACTAATCTTTTCCTTAGTGTCGATAGCGTCCCCTTCGTCGTTAAAGAGAATTTTTTCAGCTCTCTAACTAGCTCGTCTTTCTTGAGCGTATAAATCCAGCTCTCTTTTGCTGGCTGCGGTTCGTCGTTACTGGAGTCGGCGGATCTTGAAGGTCTTCCTGGGGGTGGCAGGTTATTACGGCCGGGATCGGATGGCATTCTAATAGCTTACTACAATTCAGCCAGACGTCTCAATAAAATAAAGTTGGTATCGGTAGATGGGGATAACCTATCTCGGAAACGGTAGCTCGGATTGCAATAAAACTATCAGAAAACGGTTGTGCACCTCTGGTTTACTTAAAAATGAGGGGTCACTTGCTATGTTCCCCCTAAATCCTAACTCCGGGAAACTCCGGGTGAAAATCCGGGTAAAATGTCAAAACCGGTGTACGTGCTCTATTTGCACTCTTGGTATAAAATAATGTTCAAGTTTTCTATAAATCCCGTTTTCAAGTGATTTATCGGTTATATCTCGGGAACGGCTAATCGGATCAGTTCGGAACTGGTGGCAATCGATTCTTTACCCTCGAAAACTGAAAATGACACCATAGATGCCCCTACGGTATCCAGGAAAGCTTCGGGTGGACTCGGCAAAAATCGGCAATTTCCGGTTAGCGGTGGTAAATCCCTTTTTATGTCTTCTTCTGGAATATTCGGCTTCTACCTCAAGTAATAGTGGAAAAACGGGCTTTCCATGAGTTCAGGAAAAGTTGGATTTAATTGGCGGTGGTCAAAATCGGGTTTTTGTCTCTAATCTTATACAGTCAAGTTACTATTGATAACCTAGTACTTTCGGAACAGGTTTAAACAGAATTGGGTAGAATTGACACTTTTCGGGTTTTTTACTCTAGGTGTTATCGGTTCGGAATTAATATTTTCCTGATATTAATAAACGAGAAAACTACTCTGCTTTTAATTCGGTTTACTTTGAAAAAGAAAACATCATTTTCCTTGACTCTGGACTGCGGAAAAATAACACCCTGTATATGTAAAAACAAATACAGATTCTTTAATTTACAAGATATTAAAGCAACGGAAAATAACGGTTCCCAAATTAGTATTTGATACCAGCAATGGACGGTGATTCCTAATTTATTTAAACAAAGTAAAATACTAGTTTATTAAACAAAATTACACAACGGTCTAAAAGAAAATTACGGTCCCTGCTCGGGCGCCAAATTTTGTGACGCACTTTTCCTCGGTTCTCTCTTTCTGGATGGTTCGGTGTAAATTTTTATTACTTTTAACTATTGTGTGTACACCCCCTGTAATTTAATTTTTCGGAACGGTTTTATATTCCTCGGACTGGACTCTAAACGATGACGTTAGTTAATAATTTAAATATTCGGTTTTATCCTCGGGCGCCAGTTTCCCAAAATATGACGTGGGGGAAACTC